ACTCATTTCACTTCACATTTTGTCCAAGAGGTACCTTCAAAACAGAATTGTATTAAAGGGAACACTGTGCACTATTAGTAAGAATATGAATTGCTACAACCACTATGGAAAATGGTATGGAGTTTCCTCCAAAAATTAAAAATAGAACTACCATAAGATCCAGCAATCCCACTTCTGGGTATATATCCAAAGGAAATAAAATTCCTATCTCAAAGAGGTATGTGCACATTCATGTTCTTTACAACATTATTCACAGTAGCCAAGAAATAAAAGCAACCGAAGGGTCTATCAATAAACAGATGGATAAATAACATGTTGCGCATGTATAAAATGGATATTAACTTTGCCAAAAGAGCAAGAAGAAGGAGGAGGAGGAGGAAATTTTGCCATTTGCTTCACTATGAATGAACCTGCAGGGCAGTATGCTAAATAAAATAAGCCAGACACAGAATGAAAAATACTGCATGATCTCACATATATGTGGAATCTAAAAGAAGAAAGAGTAAAAATCACAGTAACAGAGAATGCAGTGGTGTTTACTGGGGGTTAGAGTGTGGGGGGAAAAGGCAGATATTGGTCAGAGGGCACAAACTTTCAGTTATAAGATGAATGAGTTCTGGTGACCTGATGTACAGCATGATGACCGGTTAATAACAATGTACTATGTACTCGAAATATGCTAAAAATAAGTTAAAAGTGATGAACAGAAAACCAGAATTATATTCAGTCATAACAAAAATAAATTTTACTTGTGGATCAAATTTGATGACATGTGTGGAAGGTTTAGAGAGAAAAGACCCACATGCAAAACCCTTGTCAAACATTACAGAGGATACAATGATGGTTATACATGGCCACCAACAGCCGTAAAGGGTGGCAGCAGCCACAGACACAGAGACTCTAACCTGATGTTGCCTGATGTGGTCAGAATGGAGGAAGTTTTTCTGGTGAACATTTGAACTGAACCTTGGACTATCAGTCTGGGAATCACTGTGCCCTGGGCTTCCCAGAAACTAAAACCATCTACCCCATATTTATGAATTATTCATGCCAATAAAAATTCATACTCATGCACTTTGTTCATAAACATTAGCTTTTCAGCATCTCCTGCTCCCGCAGTGACTGTAATTTTAGACACTCCCAAAAGGACCAAAATCCATGAAGGACTGAGTTTGCCTGTGGCCCATGTATCCCGCTGAATGCTCACAGCCCCATATGCTGGAGTGACAAGGTCGACCAGTTCACCCAGACTGTATCCCTACGCCTGTCTTCCTCAGGAGCAGGAACAGGGATTCGTTTAAGAACACGCTTTGTGGGATTGAAGGGGAGAATCAAACCTCTTCTTTCGGATACTATTAGGGACAAACTAACTCTTCGAACTGAAGGAGTAGACTCCTTCTTTGGTCTGTGTGTTTGTGTCTGTGTCCCCAGCTTCGTTCTGAGCTCTGTGGGACTGTCTCTGTTGTGGATTCACTCTGTACCTGCCTTCCCCTTATCCTATCATGGATTTAGCCCAACACCCATCTGAGCAGAGTGGGTGCTCAGATGAATAATGATAACTAGCACATGTAGTACTTAATCTGTGACAAACACTTTACAACAGTCCTAAAAAGTAGGTGCTATTATTATCAACCCATTTGGCAGATGAGGGAACTGAAGCAGAGAGAGGTTTAGTAATTTACCCAAGATCACACAGCTTATAAGTGGCAGAGCCAGGACTTGAACTGCATGGTCTGATTCAATTAGCCATGTTCTTAACTACATCACTACCCCAATCTCTGCATTAATGGGCTGGCAAAGGTGGTTGAGCCGATGGAACACCTTGAGGGCAGAACCGACATAGTGTCCCTTTTTGGATGGCCTAGAGTGCCTCACACTGGGTGGCCAATTCTTGAACATTTCAGGTGTCGAAGGAAGTTGGTAGGTCATTTGCTGAAACAAAAGCTGAAGAGGTCGGCCCTGGAATTAGCACAAAACTCTACCATCAGGACTTGGGCTCATAAACCAGCTCCTGGTCAACCTTTCAGATGATGATAATAAGGGCAAATGGACTTAGAAGGGAAATTCTGAAAATTAATTGCTCCTAGGAATCTCATCAGGAAATGAGGCAACCAGTTAATGTGGAGACCAAGAGTCATTTTTTCAGTAGGTATTTACTGTGGGTCCTGAGGTGCATAGACCACTGAGGTCTTCGGAGGTACATGCATTATGGCTCCTGTCATGGAGAAGCTCCTGGTGAGATGGGAGCTGCATGCTCATCTTCTCTGCAGGAGCCACCTCGGGCTGATGCATTGGTTGGCTGTGGTTGGCGTCCCAGACTGTGGAGGGCAGCTTGGCTCCCCGCACTGTGTGTCAGGCCAGCCCTGACCTGCAGAGGAGCATCCCGGGGAGATGGCTTCTGGCTGGAGGAGCCAACTCCCATTTTGGCTGAGGGCCAGCCCCTTGGCTTTGTGATTTTCTGACATAGAGTAAGTGCTGCAGTAAGGGGCATCAGAGGCCAGCAGAGCAGCAGGAGCAATTGTTCCTTATGGAGAACTGCCACCTCCAGTGTCATGTTCCTATTGAGCTATGAGCAAGTTCCAAGTAATTAAGTGGATTGGGTTCTCAATCCCTGGTGACCATCAGTTTGGACATCCTTGCTGAGAGCTCCTGGCAGGTCCCGTAGCTGGTGTGGTGGCTAGAATAGCATTGTGATGAGGCTCTGCCCTAGTGTCCACTTTGCTTGGAGGGGACCGGTGAGGGGGGACACTTAGTGTATTTGGAAGGTCTTGTATGTGGGGCGCTAATTACTCTTTTTAAATCTGCATTTGCCACCAATCACAGCTTTCATGGTTCTGGGACTGTCATGGCAACTAAAGGCATATCTGAAAATAAAACGTCACTTTCTTTTTTCATTTCTACTGTAATGGCACAGGAAAATTGCTTTCCTTTTTAACTTAACATGATAACTAGAGATGAGTAAAAAATATAGATGTGTGTATAGCTTATGTGGATAAGCAGGTGCCATGGTGTATATGAACACATGCGGTGTGTGTGTGTGTGTGTGTGTGTGTGTGTGTGTGTGAGGGTGTGTACTGCTGTTCACGCTGACAGGGATGGTGTGGGCAGCTGTGTGAAGCTGCATGGCTATGGAGTGAGTCCTCCTTGTGTGTATGTCTGAGGATGGGGCTGAGTGTGGGTCTGAGATTACACACAGGCTGTGAGCATTTGAAGACTTGTCTGAGAGCACGTGTATGTATGTGTACTGTCCTGGTGTGTGTGTGTGTACCTGAACACAAGTGGTGTTGGGCGTATGTATCTGAAGACAAATGCTGTTGCATGGATGTATTATACCTGTATTGTTTGGTAAGAAAAGGCTTCAACCTTTCTTTCCACAAGGTGTCCCTGTGGGAGTGTCCAGCCCAATCACAGGAGATAGAGCCCCTTTTTGGGGGGAGGGCCCAACTCCTTGCTATAACCAGAGCTCTTACAGGAGTACCCAGACACCATATGGCCCAGCCCTGACCTAGATGATGGGGATTTCCGGTCAAGGTGGAAGTTACAAAGCACAGTCAATTTGTGCCTCTGTCCTTCATTCATTCCGTAACTGATGTGTAACACATAGCACTGTCTGAGGTGGGACTGACAGGTTTAAAAACACAATTCACCACAGTAGTAACGTTTGTACACACCTTTGCAAGGCTTCATGCTTTCTAAAGTCATCTTCTGAGTCCCATCTCCTATGGTCTGGCTTCTACAGGAGAACACTTCCCAGGTGTGGAAATATTCCTCTGGTCAGAATCAAGAAGCTGGAAGCTGAGCAGGGAGCTCCTTCCCAGGATGTGATGTGCAGGGGCTGAGCAGTGAGGGTGGGGACTGCCTGTTGCTGGGAGGGGCCTCTGCCCACTGCGGTGCGGAGCCATCCCCCGCCCTGCTCTGGCTTTCTCAGGCGAGGACTCCATCCATGATAACCGAGGCTCACTCTGTTCATCACCAAATTCTTCCAGTTAAATTCTGTACTTTACATCTCTTGAGATTCTTTGTTTTGTTATTAATTTTTCAACTTTAATAAGGAGAACCAACATTGATTAACTGTGAGTTTAAAAAGTGTTTATTGAGTACCAGTTATTGTAAGGCTGGCCCTGCCTGGGCCCAGGCGATACAGCATGCATTTGAATTACTCTCCACCTGGAGCTTTACTCGGCGCAGTGCTGGGGAGAGAGAGGAACAGAAATCACATTCAATAACAGAAGCAGGCACAGAGGAGGGGTGCCTTAACCTGAGTAGATTCATGAAGAACAGGGAGGGGTTAAACAGATGCCCTGGAGAGATGGTGACGTCCAATGGACCCAGAGATTCCCTACATGTGGGAAGCAAGTCCAGACTGGAGACTGGTAAGGGGACTCTAGTCCTGGATGCTCTTAGCCTTGTCTAAGGAAGTCAGAGGGACATTGCCTTGGGATCATGATGGCGTCACAAGCTTGGGAAGTTTGGCAAGAATCCTCTCCATAAGACGGCTATTTCTAACTCTGTCCCCAACTTTGTTGCTGGGGCTCTGTAGATGTTAATGGCAAGGAAACAAATTATGCTAGTAAGAAGCTGAGCTTTCTTGCAAGTTGCAGTCACATTGGCTGCTATAGCTCTCTCCACTTTGCTTACACTACAGCAAGTGCCATGGGAGTGTGCATGAAAAAGTACCTGTAAATATTAAGGTTGGTTCCAAAGGTACATTACTGTTTTACTGTGTAATATAGCCTCTGGTGACATTGAAACCTATTAATAACTAAACATCTGTCACAACTGCAATTATATTTCTTGTGCTAGGATTGTGTTTCTACCATTGTCCTGTTTAAACTGGAAGGGAGGGCGTGAATTATTTAGGCAACTGACTTTGAGTAAATAACCAACCAGCACTGTGCAGGCAGTAAGTTTCTGTCACTCCTTGCAGAGTCTCATTGTCACCGCTGACGTTCCCTTGATGTGCTCACAAATCTCTCTGAGAACATCGCCCTGGACCCCCGATGCGGCTGCCTGAGCAACCTGGAGAGGGGAAGCCTGAGAATGAGGAAAAGGGGGGCAGAGGAGCCCCCGGAGGGGGAGAGGAGCCGCCGAGGAGCCAGGCCCCCGACTTCCCCACTTGGCAAGTCTTCTCCCCGCAATCCCCCTGGAGAAACGAGCTTTCTCAAGTGTTTGCTCAGGACTTGATTGTTTTCTGCCCTCAGGTAGGGGGTGGGGCAGGGTCTGGAGCCCTGGCTGCTGAGTGTTGGGGGTGAGGAGACCCATGGACAAGACACCTGGGAAGATTCCTGAGAAGACACACATCAGAGCTGGATGCAGCGATTATGTGGGTGGGTGAGGGGAATGGGATTGGAAGCTGACTGTCAGGCACTGATTGGGTTGGGGCAATCCCTACTGTTAGAAAAACAGCAAAAGTTTTCATCGATAGCGTCGGAATCTGTGTCAGCATGGAAGCGGGAGTGCTGCATAGATAATTTCAACTAATCCTCATAATAACCCCGTAAGGGTGTTATTAATGCCATTTTTTACAAGAGAAAAGTAAGACAAACATTAATCAACTTGGTCTAGATTGCACAGGCAAAGGTAAACCCATGATTCCTACCAGGGATCTCTAAATCCAAAACTGATAATTTGTAGCCACTGGAACATCCGGCCCCTCCTCACTTGTAGGCCTGGAGGTCAGTGCAGGGGCAGGGGTTTGGTTCCCGAGCCACAGGCTTCCCTGACTTTGATCCTGCTCTTTCTTCTCCTTGGAGACACTCAGTGCTGTATAAACTCAAGAGGAATTTCAACTCTGGGTGGTTGTATATGGAAGGAAATTTTGCTCTGTGTGATGCTGGCATTGAGGAGTTGGTCTGTGCTGAGTCCTATAAACAGGTATGTTCTGAAATGGTCTCCTTAAGGCTGTCGCAGCGGGATGGCCAGCCCTCTGTGCCGCCAACTCCTACCGGTGACTGAATGAGTTTAGGGTGGGGCCGTGAATTTAAGGTTATGATTGTGGAGGAAATAGATTTCTGATGATAGATTCTGATTTTTAGCAGTTTCTCCCAGGAGCTGGGGGCTGGGCCCAGCATAGAATACTGTAAGAGTCTATCTAGAACCTTCTCCACTACAACTCATTGTTTGGGAACTTAAAGGTGGGGTCTGACGAGGTCCCTGGCCCAGGGCATGCTGATCTGCAGGGTGAGCCCTTCCCATCTGCTCTGAGGAAAGGTGTGGGGGACCTTTCCCCCAGGACACATGCTGCGGGGCAGGCTCAGAGTGAGTTCTGCTCAGGAGATTTGGACCGGGACCAGAGCAACCTGGGCTGGGCCTCCTCATCTCAGCTCATGCCTTCCAAGAGGGGAGCCCTGGTAGGAGGCGTGGTCTAGTTCAAGGGTAAGTTTCCTCCTGGTTGGCTTTTCCTCTGGCTGGGATAAGTGATAGCAGCCTGGGTACTTGTCCTGGGAAGGGGGGCATGTTGAGGCAGAGATAAGGCTGGGGATGACAAACATATCTGCAAAAAGGACAAGGGCTGTAGCAAATGACAGACATGGCTGATGCTACAGAGGAGGAGGAGGACAGGTTTCTCCCTTAGTAGACGTGAAGGCGTCATACAGCCAACAGACAAGGTCTGATGGAGTCAGAACGACCCTCCCTCTTTACTCAATATACTCCCAAATTAAAAAATGTTTTTCCATTTGTTCCTGCGACTTTGGGATTTAGAGTTTGGGGGCCAGACCTGTGATGGGCACAGATTAGGCAATTTAACTGTCCCTGTCTCGGGAAGTAGCAATAGCCTGTGTGGAATGAACCCGCTTCTCCAAACCAACTTCTTCTTGGGGCATTAACTCTTTTTGGACCCAAGGCTGAAGGTCTCTAGGGCTCCTGGCTTGTTCCCATTCACACCCATGTCCACACACAAACACATATGACACTTTTGCTTACTCCTTTCTTGGGAGCACACCCACCCATTTCTTAGAGATTTCTTGGTGCAGCGGGCAGGGAGATGCAGCTACAAAGGAGAGGGATGAGATGGGACCATGAGAGGGAGTCCCGTGGTTGTGGGCTCAGCACCAGGGATTGGATAGGAGGGGAAGGCAACACAGCCCACCTGGAACAGGTCCCCACATCTGTTTCCAGCAGTGAGGTCCCTCATAGTACATTGCCTCGCTGTGCGTCAGCCCCTTGGCTGGGGACTTTTTTTCAGATAAAGCAGAGGGTGGGCATTGGGATTACCGACAGAGTGTCAGGGGCCTCCTCATATATCAGGCCCTCTGGGCCGTTGCCTAGGTGGCTGTGCCTCGTGTAGGCAGGGTAGGCAACTTTATAAAGCAGGAAGGCGTCTCCTCCACGGGTTCCATCTTCCCACCCCAGATCAGTTCCACACTTCCTGGTACCATTTTTGTTGCCAGTAACAGAAGTCCAGTGGAGCGCTCCTAAATCAAAAGAGAAAGGTGTTAGAAAGACTTCAGGCAGGGGTTGGGGGAGGTGTCTTACATAATACAAGGCCTCAGGGATGGCTAAACAGAGGGCCCGGAGGGATTTTGAAAACCAAATAAAGCCGCTTCTCTCTGCCTGTCCTCACCTGTCTGGTTTCTCTGACCACATGAAAGTTATTCCTGTCAAAAGCTTCCAATTTGGCATCCAGCCCCAACTGGGAATTAGTACTGTCTCAATTTTAAATTCCCCAATGAACAGGCTCATTGGCTGCCCACTTTTGATCAAATAAATAGTGCCCAGGGAAGAGGGTCAGAGATTATGAACATGGCTGTTTCCATTACAAATGTGGAGATGGGGAAAGGGGAGAAGCAATGACCAGAGCGGTGGGGCACTTGTTCACCCCCATTCTAGAGATACTGGTTTTGTAGCCCATTCTGGAAGTTGATTGGCTGTCCATTAGTTGCTGATAAGGTGCTTGCTACTAATGTTTTAAATCACAGTCTTTAAAAAAGGCAGTCCCCATGAGGCCCAGAAAAGTGAAATATCACTGGTGGAACAAGCACAATGGGGTAGATAAAGTTGGCTGTGGGTACTGCAGTGGAGGGTGGAGAGAGACCTTACACAGAGGGCAGGACCGGAGAAGTAAGACCTACTCCCACTCGTCCTCCCAGTGGGTTCTCCTGTTTGTCAGTCCAGAGGATTGTAGAATCCCCCAGACTGTCTATTCCTATGTTTTTGCCAAGGTGTGGCCAGCTTTCTCCAGACATATCTGGAGGAGATGACCTGTGGATGGAGAACTCTTTCTCTTCTATTTTGTTCCTTCAAGAGTCTTGCAAGGGCACATAGCAATGAAGCCCCGACTCGGTTTGGGCCTGCCAAAGTGCCGACTCCTCAATCTGGAGGCCTGAAGGGATGGTTTTCCCCTTTTGCCCAGACTATGAGATCCAGGGCTCTTTGGGTCAAGTATGGAGCTGGTTTATGGAAGGTCAGTAGGCCCGAAAGGCCAGCTAGAAGCAGGTTCCTAGAGGATGGAGAGATGCCCAGGTGGCTTCAATAAACTACAGCTAAGTAAACAATTCTACTACTATGGTGCTGCTCCAACTAAATCTGAAGAAAGACATTTCTAATATGGGGAGAAATGGATGTGCACTATTGATATAGAAGCTAAGAATAGCTCATGTTCCAAACAAAGTGTTTTTTAGTATTTTGAAATAAAAATGTGTAGACAAAGCAAGGAATTAGAATGTATGACTCATTAAATTGCTGACTCTGAGAGCAATAGAAATTCAAAAGAAAAATTTCTCCCCCTATTCCTCCCTCCCACCCCTGTTCTGAATAGCTTATAAAAAGAGACTCTGCATAAACAGGACCCATAAACTCCTGCAAGATTTAAGGTCCAGCACAGTGGGAGGCAGAAGGAACTCAACTTTTATTGTTTTGTTGTTAAGCTGGCCTCCCCAGGTAGACTGGAGTCACTGACCAGAGCTCCCATGGCCTTTCCATCCTCATCTCTCCTCCTCCTGACTCTCTGTCCTGTCCCTGCAGGTATCCAGGAAATTTATGGGCCCACTGTGGCCTCTGGTCCTCTCTCCCTCCCTCCTCAGTCCCTGGCTCTGCTGGACCTCAGTAGACTCAACTCATCAGCCTTAGTGAGGATGTTTCATAAGCAAACATCAGATCTAGGGGCTACGTCTTAGGGGAGGGTGCACACTGTATGGTATGGTAGCAGAATGTAGCAGTGGGTACCCACATCAATGCACTGGGTGGTCTCGAGTGCATTTGTGTGTTGAATTGAAGGGCTGAGCCTCATCAATGGTGTTCAGTTTTTTTTTCTCACAAATACTTTTCTAAAATAAGTCTTATGGGGAATCTAGGACTTAAAACAGAAAAGAGAGAATACATTCTGGTTGGAGCAAGGCATGTGCATATGTTTGAGAGAGAGAAAGAGAGTGAGGGAGAGAGACAAGCCAATGGGGAGGTCTTCCAGGACCTCTTAGAGGAGCAGCAAGATGTTTCACTGGAAGGAACTATTGGTTGATCTTCATAGCATGATTCCTTCTCACCTCTGACCTCTCCTTGCTGCCATCTGCTTTCCTTCTGAGCAATCTCATGCTCCTTGGGTACTTTAGCAGCTTGTTCAGATATCTTCCCCAAGTCTTGGTGTCATACGGGGAAGCTTAGATGACCATGGGGTTGACCAGGCAGCCTCACATTGCCTCAACTTCAACTGTGTGACTTTCTCCTTGACTTTCTCTCCCACGGCATGCACCTTGCTTCTGTTACCCTCTAGAATACCTCACCTCTGAGACCTCATGTGGCAACACCGTTTGTTCTCTTTGACAATCTCCTCTACAGCTGTTTAGCATTGCTAGGCTACTTTTGGATGAGCAGCATACTGAGGGAAAATCTTACACGAATACGGAACATGGGTATTTGACCCTACAGACTCAGCCTTCAACTCCAATAGGCCTTCAGTGTGGCTCAGCAGTTTTTTTTAGTGGTTGGGTCTCCCCTCCCCCATTCTCCACCATGACTGTTTCAACCCCTATCCATTCTTCTAAAGATGATGTCAGCTCCCCATTCACATAAAAGACAAGGGTCTAAGGAAGAAAATTCTTCAACTTCCTGTCCCTCTGTTACCTTTTCTTCATTCATGTCCCTCTTCACCTCTCTCTGGCCATCACTGGAGGACTGGGCCCTCTAT